CTGCCCACCACATGGTCTGAGGGATGGTGGACTGGCCCATGGCTGAAAAAGGTTGCTGACCCCTGGAGTATAACATAGCAGCAATGGATGGTCAATTTTTTTGGAGCCGGGTGCTGCTGTTAATCAATTTTTTAGCCTTAAGCACTTATTCATATAAGTCTGAAATGGTTTTTTTTGTTTTTTTTAAGTTTTAAACATTTGTTTTGAATTGAAAGTGTAAATTGAAAGTATTTAATAAGGAAATCGTCTGCATCACCATAGGATGCCTGGGAGAGGTTTGGGAGCATTGATGGTTGGAGGCTGTGTCGCTGAAGCCACTAAATTGGGGCAGGGGGTTGCTTCATGTACAGTGGTACCTCAGGTTACAAACGCTTCAGGTTACATATGCTTCAGGTTACAGACTCCGCTAACCCAGAAATAGTGCTTCAGGTTAAGAACTTTGCTTCAGGATGAGAACAGAAATCGTGCTCCGGCGGTGCGGTGGCAGCAGAAGGCCCCATTAGCTAAAGTGGTGCTTCAGGTTAAGAACAGTTTCAGGTTAAGGATGGACCTCTGGAACGAATTAAGTACTTAACCCGAGGCACCACTGTACTGTGTTTCTTCTTCCCAGAAAATGGATCTGGTGTTGGTGCCTCCGAAAGCTCATGGCAGCTTCTATGAAGGTGATTGCTACGTCCTCCTCTCGGTAAGTGGAGTTCCTTGCTTATTGGTTTCCATCACCCCAGTCAGCTCTAGTTTAGCTGCAAAGCCACTCTGAGATGGGCAAAAGGCTCCAGGTTCCCCAACAGCATCCTGCCAAATTCTGTTTCTGGAGATGGCACTCAACCATATGCCCTATTCGCCTCCAATGGAGGCAGCCGGGAAGTCCAAATGCCATCCTTCAGAGGCCGGGATTTGTTTAGGGTCTGCCAGCTGCTTAGTTCTAAAACTGGGCATGCAGGCTAACAGGAAAGTCCTGCCTGTGCTGGGTGATTTCAGTTGCTTCAGACCATAACAGGGCAGCTGTGTCCAAGGCAGCTGTTTATCAGCTCCACCTGGTACACAGGCTGAGACCCTACCTGCCCATGGACTGTCTTGCCCAGAGTGGTGCATGCCTCTAGTTATCTCTCACTTGGACTATTGCAATGCGCTCTATGTGGGGCTACCTTTGAAGGTGACCCGGAAGCTACAACTAATCCAGAATGCGGCAGCTAGACTGGTGACTGGGAGCAGCTGCCGAGACCATATAACACTGGTCCTCGAAAAACCTACATTGGCTCCCTGTACATTTCCGAGCACAATTCAAAGTGTTGGTGCTGACCTTTAAATGGCCTTAGCCCAGTATACCTGACGGAGCATCTTGCACCTCTATCGTTCTGCCCGGACACTGAGGTCCAGTGCCGAGGGCCTTCTGGCGGTTCCCTCACTACAAGAAGCCAAGTTACACGGAACCAGGCAGAGAGCCTTCTTGGTAGTGGCACCCGTCCTGTGGAACGCCCTCCCACCAGATGTCAAAGAGAAAAATAACTACCAAACTTTTAGAAGACATCTGAAGGCAGCCCTGTTTAGGGAAGCTTTTAATGTTTAATAGGTTATTATATTTTTGTGTTCTGTTGGAAGCCGCCCAGAGTGGCTGGGGAAACCCGGCTAGATGGGCGGGGTATAAATAATAAATTATTATTATTACAGTGGTGCCCCGCAAGACGAATGCCTCGCAAGACGAAAAACTCGCTAGACGAAAGGGTTTTCCGTTTTTTGAGTTGTTCCGCAAGACGAATTTCCCTATGGGCTTCCTTCGCAAGACGAAACGTCTTGCGAGTTCTTGCGAGTTTGTTTCCTTTTTCTTAAAGCCGCTAAGCCGTTAATAGCCGCTAAGCCGTTAATAGCCGTTAATAGCCGCTAAGCCGTTAATAGCCGCTAAGCCGCTAATAGCCGTGCTTCGCAAGACGAAAAAACCGCAAGACGAAGAGACTCGCAGAACGGATTAATTTCGTCTTGCGAGGCACCACTGTATAACACGTGGACTAATCCAGTCCCTGAACATTTTCTCTTCCAGCGCATCATCCCAAGCACTCAAAGGCAACATTTGCATTTGTAAGCGAAAAACCCAAACCCCACATGCACTGGCAGATAGATGCACATGAACAACAGGGGTGGGGAATCTGGGGGTCACAGCTCCCATCATTCCTAACCATTGGCCATATTGTCAGGGGCTGATGGGAGTTGGAGTCAAGCAACATCTGGAGCTGCCGTCCTTGTTCTTCTGTGATCAGCAGGGCATCAGGCAAAAGTCTTTCCCATTACCTACTAATACATGGTGCCAAGGGTATTACTTGAACGTTCTACCATCAAAGCATGCACCCTCTCACTGAGTCCTTCCCCTAAGTGTGGGGTAAACATGCAAGGCTTTTCCTGTTGCCCACACACATTGGAGGGGAAACCAGGATCATTAAAGGGCGTGGGGTAGAAGTGGAATGCCTAATGTTTGCAATGACATCTGCTGGAGAGAGTGATAAATACATTTACACACAGCATACTTCATCCTGCATACCAATAGAACCTCTTCTTTTTATCTGCTGACACATGCTCTTCAAGCTTGGGTCCCCAGATGCTGTTGGACTACAACTCCCATCATCCCCAGGCAGCTTAGCCCAATGGTCAGGGAAGATGGAAGCTGTAGCATCTGAGGAGCCAAGGTTGAAGAAGGCCGTCCTAGGAGATGAGCTGGGTCACTTCAAGCTTCTGTTATGGCCAAAAACAATCCCATAGCTAGTGGCTGCAGACAGTGATGCGCTGCGAAGGTTGAAGAGCAGTGGTGGGCCTTAGGGTGGAATGGCTCCAGGGCAAAGTTTTCCAAACCTGGATTTTCAGCTGTCATTGGACTATGTTTCTCATCACCCCTAACCACTAGCTAGGGGTGATGGGAGGTGTAGTCCAAAAAACAGCTGGAGACCCAAGTTTAAGAAACCCTGCTGTTGGGATTCTAAGCTGGGAGCAAACTCAGCGCTCAGTCATTCAGGAACTTTGGTTATTATTAGTATGCCCTGCAGAGGACCTTAAGGTCCACAAATAAGAACACTTTGGAGGTCCCAAGGCTCAAGGAGGTTAGATTGGTTTCAACTAGAGCCAGGGCCTTTTCAGTACTGGCCCCGATGTGGTGGAACGCTCTGTCACAAGAGACTAGGGCCCTGCGGGACTTGACTTCTTTCCGCAGGGCCTGCAAGACAGAGCTGTTCCGCCTGGCCTTTGGTTTGGACTCGGTCTGACCCTTATGTTTCCCTCCCCTTATGGTCTTGATTTATCGGCTACTTTAAAATGAGGCTGCATTTTAAATTGCATTTTAACCTGTATTTTAAATTGGTTCCCCCCTCTCTCTTTCCCCCTATTATGTTTTTACTGTGATTGTATTGGTGTTAGCCGCCCTGAGCCCAGCTCTGGCTGGGGAGGGCGGGGTATAAATAAAATTATTATTATTATTATTATTATTATTATTATTATTATTATTATTATTTGCAAGTCAGGGGTCCCGGACCCTATGACTGTACTTACCGTATATTTTGCTCTATAAGACTGACTTTTTCCCTCCTAAAAAGTAAGGGGAAATGTGTGTGCATCTTATGGAGCGAATGCAGGCTGCGCAGCTATCCCAGAAGCCAGAACAGCAAGAGGGATTGCTGCTTTCACTGCGCAGCGATCCCTCTTGCTGTTCTGGCTTCTGAGATTCAGAATATTTTTTTTCTTGTTTTCCTCCTCCAAAAACTAGGTGCGTCTTGTGGTCTGGTGCATCTTATATAGCGAAAAATACGGTATTTATCCCAATGACGTCTGTCCCTCCTGCAGACCCGTAAATCGGGCAGCGCCCTGTCCTATGACATCCACTACTGGATTGGCAAACGTTCCTCGCTGGACGAGCAGGGCTGTGCTGCCATATATACCACCCAGCTGGATGACTACCTCGGTGGGGTTCCCGTGCAGCACCGTGAGGTGCAGGGCCACGAGTCTGAGCTCTTCAAGGGCTACTTCAAGCAAGGTCTCATGTGAGTAAGGGGTCGTCATGGGAATGGCAACATCTCGGCAGGCAGCCCTTTTCTTGTCAATCCAAGCATGGCCGGCCCAAGATGTTTTGCTGCCTGAGCCTTCCTGCAGGGAGGGTCTGTTGTTGTTGTTTAGTCGTTTAGTCATGTCGGACTCTTCGTGACCCCATGGACCAGAGCACGCCAGGCACTCCTGTCTTCCACTGCCTCCTGCAGTTTGGTCAAACTCATGCTGGTAGCTTCGAGAACACTGTCCCACCATCTCGGCCTCTGTCGTCCCCTTCTCTTTCCCAACATCAGGGTCTTTTCCAGGGAGTCTTCTCTTCTCATGAGGTGGCCAAAGTATTGGAGCCTCAGCATCAGGATCTGTCCTTCCAGTGAGCACTCAGGGCTGATTTCCTTAAGAATGGATACGTTTGATCTTCTTGCAGTCCATGGGACTCTCAAGAGTCTCCTCCAGCTCCATAATTCAAAAGCATCCATTCTTCGGCAATCAGCCTTCTTTATGGTCCAGCTCTCACTTCCATACATCACTACTGGGAAAACCATAGCTTTAACTATACGGACCTTTGTTGACAAGGTGATGTCTCTGCTTTTTAAGATGCTGTTTAGGTCTGTCATTGCTTTTCTCCCAAGAAGCAGGCGTCTTTTAATTTTGTGACTGCTGTCACCATCTGCAGTGATCATGAAGCCCAAGAAAGTAAAATCCCTCACTGCCTCCATTTCTTCCCCTTCTATTTGCCAGGAGGTGATGGGACCAGTGGCCATGATCATTGTTTTTTTGATGTTCAGCTTCAAACCATATTTTGCACTCTCCTCTTTCACCCTCATTAAAAGGTTCTTTAATTCCTCCTCACTTTCTGCCATCAATGTTGGGTCATCCCTGCAGGGAGGGTCTAGCCTGCCAGTTTTAGTTTCCCAACCTCAGTTTCATCACATATTCGCATTAATTTGCGCGGGGGGGGGGGGGGGAGTGCTCATGAAATGAAAGCACTGGACTGCACATTTCTCTTTTGTATGCAGATTTGCCTAATATACATATTCGGTCAAATAGATTTCCCCCAGAATAATGCACCTCTGAATGTCATTTTGATTAAGATGTGCATTTTCACATACTTTCCCCCAATTTAATGCATTTCCGTACATGCTTTTCGTTGGAGAACTGCATCGTTTTATTCAGAGAGGTGCCAATTTCAAGGATCGCTGTGTTTCAACACACATTTTGAGAAGCGTGAATGAACTTGTCTTCCCCATCCCTCAAATCCTTTGGGGTTCTTGACAGACATATCAACAGGGAAATGATGCTCTCCCCTTTTAAAACTGGAGAAAGTGGTCACCTCTTGTGCAAGGCTTTAAAAACAAAGGGGTGTTATATTTGCAGGTAATAGTACCTACAAATCATACAATGAAATTTGCATTTCTGAATAAAGTTCTGCCAGAGGGTGGATAAAGAAGATGTCTGTTTCCTATCATTTAGCAAACAACATGTTGTTTGTTTAGGCAAATGCACCTGCAAAACATTTTACTATTCTGTCTCCTGGTGGTGCTCAGCCACATGACCCACGAGTATTCTTAAGCAAGGAGTGAGATCCATTCTCTGATGCTACTTGTTCCCAGAATCTGGTTACATCTTATTCGAAGCAGCCTCCTCTTGATGTGGATGTTGTGCTTCCGATGACATTTCCACATGGAAGAGATTGTTCTGTAACAGACTCTCAGGCATTTGACAACTTGTAGTAGCGTGGCAGATGTGGAGGCAATTCTGACAACCACCTCTGTCATGATTTGATTTCCAACTCTTCGTGACCCCTGGACCAGAGCACGCCAGGCACTCCTGTCTTCCACTGCCTCCTGCAGTTTGGTCAAACTCATGTTAGTAGCTTCGAGAACACTGTCCAACCATCTCGTCCTCTGTCGTCCCCTTCTCCTTGCGCCCTCCATCTTTCCCAACATCAGGGTCTTTTCCAGGGAGTCTTCTCTTCTCATGAGGTGGCCAAAGTATTGGAGCCTCAGCTTCAGGATCTGTCCTTCCAGTGAGCACTCAGGGCTGATTTCCTTCAGAATGGAGAGGTTTGATCTTCTTGCCGTCCATGGGACTCTCAAGAGTCTCCTCCAGCACCATAATTCAAAAGCATCCATTCTTTGGCGATCAGCCTTCTTTATTGTCCAGCTCTCACTTCCATACATCTTTTATATAGTGCTTGCTTTATATGCAGCATTTCAGGTGGACCTCACAAACCTGTTTACATACCATTATTAAGAAGCATCAACAGAAAATCAAAAAGCCCATGGGCTGTGTTCAACTTACTTGCAAAGACAGTAGGACTGGCTTGTTACTTCAGTTTATGTGAAGTCATACACATCACCATTTAGGGAGTTCCCCCACCCTGTAAAACTATTAAGTTCAGACTCTAAGATTACCTAACCACTGCAGTTTCCTTGTACCTATCCCTCATCAACCACTGTCTCTATACAGTGCTACCTCAGGTTACATACGCTTCAGGTTACATACGCTTCAGGTTACAGACTCCACTAACCCAGAAATAGTACTTTGGTTAAGAACTTTACCTCAGGATAAGAACAGAAATTGCATGGCGGTGGCGTGGTAGCAGGGGGAGGCCCCATTAGCTAAAGTGGTACCTCAGGTTAAGAACAGTTTCAGGTTAAGAACGGACCTCCGGGACAAATTAAGTTCTTAACCCGAGGTACCACTGTACAGACCTCACAGTGAACCATAGTTAAGGTTCCTTAACAATGAAGTGATGTGATGTCTGAACTGGGTCTGTTCTCATGACTCAACCATGCTCAATTACTTATTTGTACATTGAGGAGAATAAAGACATATATTGGCACTGGGGAACACCCCCCCCCCGAGATTAATGAACAATTTAGGATTGCCCTAATATATAACAGACACATACAATTAGGTTTGTCAATGTGGAGGGCAGATAGGAAAAGGGCAGTGATCAAAATTATTTTAGGTATGAATCACCAAACCTTTATATCGGCCATACTGATATTACTGGAAATTTCCACATGACTGGTGGAAATTATTTATTATTTACTTATGCAAGTGGATGTATTTCCTGCTGTTTCCCAAGGGTTAGAGGTTTGGCTACAACACTAAGATTAAAATTTGATTTTAAAAACCCTAACTACAATGCCTTTTGAAATACCAAAATACAATATGAGACTTACAATTACTTGCCTTTAAAAGCCATTTGTAAAGGAAATGTCTTGTAATGTTTCTTGACAATGCTAATTAAGTCCCACAGTTGGACAAGTTCCCTAAGAAAAAGAGGCTCCAGCACGGAGAATATCTCTTGTCATGCTCTTGTGGAACAGATGACCTGTGGCAAATGACATCACCTAGAGGTTTTTACCGATTGATCTTTATCACGCTAAAGTAGACCATTAGAAGGAAAAAATGCCTATAGCGTGGAGAAACACTTAACAACTTTACAGTTTATTGGACCAAAAATATTTTTCTCTTTGTTCATGATTTTGGGAGTACTGTTTATGTTGATTTAAAGTTTCAAAAAACTGATGGATGTAATTTAATGCTTAATGTCGGTTTAATGTTGCAGTGTTCATTTTACTACAGATGACCTGTGTATTCTCTCTTAAGGGCCAGATTCAACTAAATAGTTCTGCTAGCAGAAGCCAGTGCAATGAGTCCCACTAGCATTATAGCCCCCCCCCTTCTCCTTTGACCACCCAAAAATTGACTCAGGGTTTTGGGATAACCCTCATGGGAAGGAAGAGGGGAGATCGTTCTGCAGTGGAACGATAGTAATAGCGCAATGTTGAATTGCACCCTAAGTCGCCCCCCCCCCCGGTATTTGGAAGAACCATTTGTGCTACTGATATTATCATTATATACCAAGGAATACACAGCAACATGCATGAGGATTAATCAAAATACCAGCACATTGGTTTCAGTGTGAGATGCACACTAGACTTTCTCTACAACATGCGTTCTTCAGAGCCAGTATCCTGATGACTTGAAAATGTATATGACCCACTCTGAGCCTTTTAGCCTTTAGAACAGGGCAGGTTATTAAATCTAAAAAAAGAATTACAGTACTGCTGGTAAATGAGGCCAGAGAAATCCCTTTCATGAAACATGCCAATGGAAAAAGCCTGCCCAATAGTCTATATAGCACAGAGTTTCTACCTCCTTAAAGACATTGTGCAGGACATTGATGAAACACAAGCAGTGAGATGTCTTTTAAAGACATGCACAATTAGCATTAGTGGCATGAAAAACTGGATTAAGACTGTGAAGATATGTATCATCCTACTTCCCTCTGTGGCTTGAATCCATAGAACTTGCACTTTCAAGCCAAGGGGCTGACATCATTACTCTGTCATTAATCCCTGGCTTGTGTTACAGACTTACAATGGAAAGAAAACATTGTTCCAGAAAATAGTTGAGCATGCAGTGATCTAACCTTGAAGTTGTTTACCAATTAGACAGCTTTCAAATACTCAAGTACATGTGTGATTTAAATATCCCAGAAAGGAAGGCAAAAATGTAATAGTCATGAACAGAACTTAATACAGGAATGGCGGAAAGGGAACTATTGAATTGGATCATGGCCGTGACATGGAAGGTGGCTGGGGCAACCCAGTCAGATGGGTGTATTATTATTATTATTATTATTATTATTAAAATAATCTTTCTGAGAATGACACCAAGCAAGTTTGAGGAGAAAAGAGAATGTGGCTAGTTTCCTAAACCCTTCCCTGCATATCTATATCTATATCTATATCATCCTATATCTATATCATCTATATCTATATCATATTAATAACTAGAGACTTGTCTTAACATCAATATAGAGTCTATGTTTGATATACACATTTTAAAGGGGGGGGACATCTAACCTCCCTTTACTCATATGCAGTTGTCATTTTCGTCAGTCTCCCCCCAATGGATCCAAGGGTGCCTCTGTCTCCCTTGCTGTTTAATCTAGTATAATACCACTTTTGTTGACCTCTGTCCTCAGCTAGCAGCCTCTCATAGAGTAGGGATAT